TCTCTTCAATGGAAACAAACTGAAATTCATCTCATCTATTCTGAGTTTAATAAAACACTGAATACGCTGCAGCATTGAAAAGTTTAAAACACAAGAAGTTGGGCTATTCTAACAACAGTTCCAGTTCCAATGGAATCATTCACTTCAATATCTGGGTATCTGTCAAGATAAAAGTAATTTGTTTATTCTCAATGCTGTCTGTAGGCTTTGTCTAAACTCATGTAACAAAGATGAACAGATAATTTGTTCTGAGCAGGTGACCAAGACTTTTTAACATCTAAGGCTCAAACATCAAGCACTCAGATGGATGAATTTGGGCAGAAGAACCATGTTGGAAATTAATTTCTACCCATCAACTTCCATCCGCAAAGAAATTCTGCAATAATACCTATGTGACTGATTAGACAACTTATTAAAACTACGGAGGAGGTAATTGGCCTCCCAAGAAGAATCAGGTGATGTATTCCCTATAACCTGGGCAAGGAAGTAATCCTATCTACATAGGAAGTCCTTTCTCTGAAACATATCTGAGACTAGTCACACATTTGCAAGAAAAGCAAGAAATATATATCCAAAAATTAAAACCTGATGCTGAGAAGGGTTATCAGCATAATCAGATAAGTGCAGAGGTGACCACAGGAAAAAAGACTGAAAGAGATCAAGTTGTCGAGCTTGGTAAAACAAGGCCTAAGAGAGGATGTGGTTGCTTTCTAAGCCATGGATAAAGCAAGATGCAAAGAGGGAAAGAACTACTCACACTAAAAGGGAATTGCTGGCACAAAATCAAAAGTCTAACTCATAGTAAAGAACAGTTGGCACAATGTCAGAAGAGCATTTCAAAGCCTTAGAGGAATAACTTTCCAATAGGAATAATGGGCACAGCCTAATGAATTTTGTAATTTAAATTATTATTTTACAATTAAAATTTAAATATTTGAATTTCAATATTTAAGATTAAATTGTTACTGATACAGGAAAGGACTGGACTTGATCTAAATTATGTTTCCTTGTTTTATGCTTTCATACAAGGATTACCCTTCCTCGGCCCACGTCACTATTCAACATCATCCTTCCCTTCCCCTTAGCCATCTCTAAATACAAGCACCTTACTCTCCACATCCCCTCAAGCCCTTTGTCTCAACCAACTCCTCCTGTCACCCTCCCTTCCCTTAAATATAACTAAAATATAACTAAAAATAACTCTCCAAGGCAGGCATCAGACAAGCAAAGTTTCAGCCCAAGCATTTGTAGCGTTTACAAGACTCTGCGTTCTTTTGCTGAACACATCCTTCTTTGTGAAGGGTGATTGGAGTGGTCAGAAGGAGGCACTTTCCCTTGCTGAATTTTCTTTGATCCTTCCAGGATTTTCTTGGCCTGACCCCAAGAGTAACTTCTGTAGCCAACAAATCTTCCTAAGAACTGAATTCTCGTAATGTTCACGTAAGACTGCTGGTTCTAGACAGGTTGTAATTAGCACTGACAGGAAGAATTGGGAAGGTGCTTCACTCATACATTTGTCTGTGTTATTCCCACCAGAATGAGCCACAGGGAGGGCTTGAACACACATCTGGTCTTCTCACTTGTGTGAGGAAGCCATTGATGCTTAGCCTGCAGCAGTCCAGCCTCAATTGCCAGCCTGTCTCAATGGAAGTGGATCCATTTTTGTCACAGGAAATGCATGCCATGTCGTGCAAAATTATTCCACTCCCATTACAGTTTAGCGAGAAAAATTCCCCACCGCACGGTTTTTGCGTCTATTTTTGGGTGTAACCTAAATATCGAATGCCAAGTCACAGAGAGGTCAATACGCTCTGAATGTAGAAATATCTCACAGACCTTTTGTGTAGCACAATGGCAAACAAAAGAACTGGAGCAATCCATGGCTACATCACAATCCCAGAAATCAGGCAGGGAACCGCTGCTTACTTTAGTAACCACTCGTGCCTTTGTCTCTGGTACAGCACAGCAGCGTACCCAGCTTTTCACTTAGCTGTCATTTGTGCCATGCTGCAGAAAGAGACAACAAAATACTGAAAAAGATACCATTACAGTTTACTCTACTGCTGGGATGGCCATACACAGAGCTATTTATAGCTCTAACCCAAATAGAAAATATAAAAGCACAAATGGGCCTCATGCATGTGTAAAAATATTCAAGCCTATTTAATTCAGCAGCAAAAGCAGAACAAGCTGAATTTTGAAAATATACCTAATTTCTGGAAATTCAATCAAATTTTCATATATAGAGACCTTTTTCTCTCCTATGCATATTGAAAATTGTAACCACCTCCTCAGTTAAAAAAAAACAAAAAACAACAAAATAAAAATCAGATCTATTTAAATTCTGCTAAAATAAATTTTTTTAATACTTTTCAGTGCTTTGAATGATAACTATGAAGTTACTCCTAGTGCCTTTTAAATATTTGTTACTTTGTTTTTGTTACATTTATATTCTTGGGGAGCAATACAATCACCCCTTTTCAAAAGCTCAAAGGATCATGTAGGTTTCTAATTGTAACTCCAAATGAATAAGTCTGAAAGCACTTAAACTGCATTTAGTCAACATCCAAAATTAAATTTTAAATCCTTTAACCGAAATTTCTAATGGTAGATAGATAGATAGATAGATAGATAGATAGATAGATAGATAGATAGATAGATATATAGAGATAGAAATAGAAATAGAAATAGAAATAGATATAGATATAGATATAGATATAGATATAGATATAGATATAGATATAGATATAGATATAGATATAGATATAGATATAGATATTATATACATATACATATATATATATATTTAATTTTCCAACTCAACTGCCACTGGAATGATCAGCACCAAATTAATAACCAGCATGATTTTGGTTTCAAGGGTATATGGATTTTTACAGTCTCTGCCTCCTCTCCCCTACTCAGCTCAGTTAATGTAAAGCCTTTGGACCTTCCACATAAGCCATGCCAAGGAAATTAAATTGCCAAAGATGACATCTGGGATTTATTTTGCCCACTATCAAAAGCTACAAAAAGGTGCCTCATGTTACAAGTCTAAAAATTCACCTGAATGACTGAAATACAACAAGATGCATTGAGACACATTACAGTTGTTCTGATTATGGAGATTAGGAATACTTGGGCATTTTTATTATTATTTGGTAATTTAATGTGTTGATAACCTGAGTTTCCAGATCTTGCTCAGCTGGAACAAAGAAATGAGTTGTGACAGTTTTTTGAGGGTGTTTGGTTTTTTGTTGTTATATATTTGTCATCACTATTATTAGTTTTGCAATTATGAACTACTCTCCAGTCCAAGTTACAACCCCAGTTACAACTGCCAGGGTTCTTGCAGACACCTTCTGAGTCAAGATATTGCCAAAACATTTTCTACCTCCCCATTACAAAGGTTCTAACTCAACTTTTGTATTTTTCAGATCCTCAAGTAATCCAATGCACCCCAAAGTATCCAATGCATCAGGTACAGATCCTTCCTTACACGCTGCCAACTTCTATTTTCCTAGACTCTACAGTTTCTTGAGGAAAGACACCAACTTTTCTGCTTTTACAAGACCTAGGTATTCAACACACCCCTCCTTGAACAGTGAGAAACCCACAACATCTGCAATCCTCTGATGCTACAGACAGGATTTAAAACTAATTACAACTGATTACATACTAGGAAAACCATCATGTGTAAATCAAATCTGGTCAACACATAAATAAGGGAAGGCATATTGAACTAATTGCACAGTGAAGAGCAAATTTGGAGTTTTTCTAGGAGGGAAAGCTTACAAAAAGTCACTACTTGGAAATTCAAGAGTTATAAACCAAAATGTTATATAGCTGAATGTATATTTGATTATCCAAAGAAGTTATTGAACTTACATCAAGGTTCAAAAAGGGACTGGGCATTTATATATATTTAAAGGTACAATAAAGATTTCAAGGGTGAAAATAAACATAATGGCTACAGATTTAGGACTGCCTCTAATAATTGTAAACTAGAATAAAAAAGAACAGCAGGAAGCAGATTACACTTAACCTGAGTTTTTACATTTCCCTTAGAAATCCCTGGAGCTCTTACCAGACACAGAGTACTGGCCTGGACAGACCCAACAGTGGTTAGATACTGTTATGCACACCAAGGAATTTGACAGTCTGCAGGCAAAACATCTCAAAATTTCATAAAATATATAAAGACGGCTCACAGGACCTATTAAAAATAGATATAAGACAACTGAATCTTGGACAAGTAACGCAACATCCAGCAAATTATGTCTGCAGACATAGCCCAGCTTGTAGCCCTACACTGTGATCAGGAAGATATTTTCCCCTGCAAAATCACTCATCATACTACTGAGAAGAAACCAGCTTGGTCAGAGGCCCAGAAGAGAATATTTTGGATTCACAAAACCTATGGATTGCTTGGAAAGTGAGATGGGCACTACAAGTCACATTTCCTAAAGAGGCTCTGGATATGGAATTACAGCTATTCCACCACAGAGTTACCTTACACATTGCAAACCAGCATCTTGGCTCAACAAACTACTCCCCCTCAATGAAAAAAATCTCAGGAATGTCAGGGTGGGATTAAAAAAAATTTTAAAAAATTAAAATCACAGACTCTATACAGTGTCTCTTAGAACCAGACATGGATTAGAAACTTGCATGGACTCTTATCCTGCCCCTACTTAGCACTCTAAAGACAATGGCTTGGCTTGCACAGTATTTAGTTTTCACATATACCTTTACCTTCAGTTCTGTCTGAAGATCCTTAACGTTTACAGCAGGGAAAAGAAAATCTCTTTTGTCATCCCACGACAATATTTCAGCCAAAGAGATTCTTGGCTTTAGGAAATAGAGAAAAGAAAGTGGAATTTCCTCCAGGTGCCATGAATTGACACTTGTTTCCCTGCAAGTATGTTCTGCACTGAGCAGCTTAATACAGACACAAGGCCACGTGCCTGGGAGAAAAAAAAGTGAAAGGAAGAAGCACTTACCACGAGGACAGCACTCAACCGGTCACTTTGGACCTGCTGCACTTGGATGCAGGGTCCTGGCACTTGTAACCTTGAGCCACTAGGAACATTCCCAGCATCTCCATTTGGGATGCTGCCGTTACTAGGCCCAAGACCTACAGATGCCCTGTACAAGTAGGTGTGAGTGAGTTTGCCCACGCCAGTGACCTCCAGCATGTCCGGTGGCAGGTGGGAGCTGGGAAGCATGTGCACACTGTAGCAATACTTTTTATAGTCATCAGATGGGCAGCAGCAGCCATTGCAGCAGCAAGTCCGGCACCGGCACAGCCGGATGAGGGCAAGGAAGAAGATGAAAGCTGCAAAGATGAACGAGACGCAGGCAAGGGAAACGATCAAGTAGATGTTTGTAGCGTTGAGTAGCGGTGGTGGCTGCCCGCTGTCATCGAAGTCTGGCAGTGCCTGGGGCAGGGTGTCAGCCAGCAGGATGCCCACCGTGACGGTGGAGGAGAGCGGTGGATCCCCGTGGTCCCGCACCACCACGACCACTTTGTGCTTGAGGAAGTCGGTGGAGCGCATGGAGCGTGTGGTGCGCAGCTCGCCGGTGTGCGGTGACAGCTGGAACAGGGTGGAGTCAGAGGAATGGGCAAGGTGATAGGAAAGCCAAGCATTCTGTGCATTGTCCTCATCATCTGCCACCACTTTGGTCACCAGGTAGTCCTCATCAGCCAGGCGGGGCACAACTTCCACAGCTACGGAGCCATTCTGGCTGGTGGGGTACAGGATGGCCGGGGCATTGTCATTCTGGTCTGAGATGTAAACATTCACTCTTATGGCAGCACTCAAGGCTGGTGACCCATTGTCCTTGGCTTCCACTTGGAAATGGAAGCTCCTAAGCTGCTCAAAATCAAAGGCACGTTTTGCATAGATGCTCCCATTGGCCAAGTTCATAGACAAAAAGCTGGTCAGGGCACTGCCTGCAACTGTGGAATTCCTGAGCGTGTAAGAGACCCGTCCATTCTCCCCTGTATCAGGGTCAGATGCCGAGACCTGGTAGAGAAAAGCACCAAGTGGATTGTTCTCCTCCACAAACACATCGTATGCGTCAGCACTGAAGACAGGGGCGTTATCATTCACGTCAGAAATCTGCACCCATACAGTCTTCTGAGTGGTGAGAGGAGGAGAACCCAAGTCTGTGGCAGTAATGGTGATGTTGTACTCACTGATCAGCTCTCGGTCCAGAAGCTCACTGGTGACAAGGCTGTAGTAGTTTTGAAGGGAAGGCTTTAACTGGAAGGGAAGGTTTTCAGAGATCTGGCAGGTTACTTTCCCATTCTCCCCAGGGTCCTTATCCAAAATACTCAGCAGGGCTATCACCGTGCCAGGAACAGCATCCTCAGGAATGGGACTGGAAAGGGATGTAATTGTAATCTCTGGGCCATGATTGTTCACATCTGTGATTTCCACCAGCAGCTTAGCTGTGCTGGACATGCCAAATGCCCCATTATCTCTTGCCTCAATGAGCATCTCGAGAAGGGGTCTCTGAACAGCTAAAACACCATTGACTGTCACCTCCCCGGTGTGTGGGTGAACTGAGAACATTCGCTGTAAGTCAGCAGAAGTTGTATTGCTAAAGGAATACCTGACCTCTCCATTTGGACCTTCATCCAAGTCTGTGGCGTGCACTTGGACTACCAAAGTGCCACTGGGGGAGTTTTCCAAGATACTCGCCCTGTAGACCGAGTGCTCAAATTCTGGTGCATTGTCATTGGTATCCAGCACAGTCACAATGACCGGGACATCACCAGACTTTGGAGGATTCCCACCATCTTTGGCTGTAAGCACAAGTCTGTGAGTGGCTTGCTGCTCCCTGTCTAAGGCTTTCTTCAGCACCAATTCAGGATATTTACTCCCATCCCCACGTATCTGCATTTCCAAATAGAAATGTTCATCGGGGCTCAGAGTATAATTCTGGACACTGTTAGCACCTTCATCAGGATCTTGGGCACTGGGGAGTGCAAACCGTGCCCCAGGTGACAGGAACTCAGGCATGTTTATATGATATTCACTTAAGGGAAAGCTGGGGGAGTTGTCATTTATGTCCAAGACTTTGAATTCCATCCTATAAAGCTCTAGAGGGTTTTCTAACACGAGTTCATAATTCAGAAGACAGACAGACTTTAATTCACAAAGCTGCTCTCTGTCTATGGGCTCGTTAACAGACAAAGCCCCTGTGCTGGCATTTATATTAAAATATTGCTTACTTGAACCGGTGATCATGCGAAATTTCCGAGCTGAAAGTGTAGCTGCATCTATTCCTAAATCCTTTGCTATGTTCCCGACAGACGCTCCACGCTCTGTTTCCTCGGCGATGGAATACACTATTTGCCCGTCCACGGTGCAGCAAATAAGGCAGAAAACCATTAAATAGCCCCGCATGCTTCCTCCCCTGGCTCAGCTCCCCGCAGACCGGCTCAGCAGGAACATAATCCAGAATTTCAGCGAGCACCCCAAGTTCCCAGCGCGAAGCCAGCGGGCACCGGGGCGCACCGGCGGCAGGGCGACAAGTTCTGTGCAGGCTGGGGAGGCTCCGCGGCGGCTCCGCTGCCCCCCGGGCCGTGCCGCCGGTGCCGTGCGGGGCGAGGCGGCAGCTCGGCAGCGCTGCCCCCGCCGCCGCCGCTCGCTGTGCCCGGCGCGCCGGCCCCGCGCGGTTCTTAGACGGGAGGCGGCGGCGGCGGCGCCACCCAGAGGCCGCGGTGACACCGGCGCCACCGGGGGAGGGGGCTGCGCTCCCCCCGCCGCCGCTGTCCCGCTGTCCGCCGGCTGCTTCTCCTCCCGAGCCTCTTTCTCCCCCTTTTTGGTTTTTTTTTTAACGGAGACGGAGCGGGGGGATGCGCGCAGCCGACTGCGCGTCATGGATTTGTTTCGGTGAAAAAGAGAGGCAGAGCAGAGCCCCCTCCTCCCTCCGCTCCTTGCGGGAGAGGCAGCGAGAGGATGCGCTGTCAGAGAGCCGCGGTGGAAGGGAAAGGTGGATGAGAAGTGACAGGCATCGGCTAAACATGGGTCAGCACAGCCCAGACACGCTCCGGCTGAGCACAACATTTCCCAGAGGGGTTTTAAGAGCACAATTAAAGGAGGCAGTGGATTCTACCCCTGTTAAACTTTACTGAAAGAAAAGGGAAAAAAAAGCGGGGAGAAAATAAGGAAAATGAAAAAGGCTCTTTTCTGCTTAACCTTCAGAACAAGGGAAGTTAACACGAATTATTAGAGGGAAGGGTCTCTCCTCTGACAGTCAGATCCCCCCCAGCCACAGACGAGCTCCCATCCAGCCTCCCAAAGCAGGATGGGGATAGCTCGGGTGGTGGAGGAAAATGAAAGGCTGCAGCAGTTCAATTACTCGTATGGAAATAAGTATCAGCACCAAAGAGGTTTTGCATTTAGGACATGCCCAGGAATTGTGGGGAGAGACTAGCTGATATCACACAGAGACTGCAGATCATGAGTGGAAAAAACAAATAACATCAAAGCTCTCTGTTCCCTCAGCTTTCCACACAGAGGGGATGGTTACTAACTACACCCCAAAGCAGGTATGAGAAGACAAAAAAGCATTTCAAAATATCCTGCTGGAAAACCTTCCTGGAATGATTTTCAGCAGCATTTTATACAGATGGACCCTGGCAACAGCTCCATCTCCTCTGTTTCCTGTTCTCTTCTGTGAGAGCTTGTTATGATGAGATCCTGATCGATCAAAAGCAAGAGGATATAAATGTGTGACAAGGACAGGTCTTAACCTTTCTCATATTCATTGTGTTCCTTTCTGCAGCTGAGAATTTCCAGGCAAGTGAAACAGAACATTTCAATTATATATAGTATACATAGGGCCTTTCTAAAAGGGAGAAAATCTGGAACACAGCCAAAAACATTAAACATTGTATATTAAATTAAAAAAAAAAAATCTATACATCTGTTTGCATCTTCACAACTCAGCAAATCCTCACAGTGAGGTCCTCATCCTGGCACACTGGAACAGATTTTGGTCTGCTCCAGCACAGCTGTCTGCAGATGTGATCTTTTTAACTCCAGGAGGTCCTGGCAGTTGCATTTTACTTCTCTGCTCATTGATGTTATAGAATCCCTTACAGCTCAGGGGTAGCAGCCCAAGACTGAGAGAAAGCCACAGAGCTGCTGCTGTGCATCCACCTCAATTCACAGAGGACATAAATCTGTGACACAATAGCACACTGCACACAGTATACAATGCAAGTACTCATGGTTTGCTGCTTACCCCTTTTTCTTTTCTTGATTGTGAAGTGCAGAAATACCCAATTCCAGTTCCTATCCAATCACTGCAGAATTGTCATCCAGACTCCCCCCACTCCCAATCTGCCCTAGATTCCTCTTCTGCAACAATGTCATCTACAATACCTGAGAAGTTGCTGGGTTTACTGCTCTGTAGTGATGCACAGTCATTCTAAACACCCTGAAACAATGCAAGAACATCTATTAAAGCCACAGGAAAGACTGAAGTATTTCCTTAACATAAACCTCCAAGGTTAAATCCATCTGTCTAGGAAGAACTGAAAAGCCACATGTTGATCCCTCAGGTGCACACACAGGTAAAACACGCTAGCCGCCCATCTGGGATTCAGTTTACAATAAAGAAACCCAAGAATTTGAGACTCAACATGCTCTTGTTGAGCAGACAACCCCCTCAAAAGCACATTTTTCTCGAATATAATATTGGAATGACAAGCTGTAGTTGTTCATTCTGGTGCCTGAAAGACTAGCAATGCTAGCAGAAACTGATTAATGACTGGCCAAAATCAAATTGCACATGTGCTTCTCAGATGTATTCACCTTTGAGAAGTGAAGGCAGTCTACAATAATATTAATCTTTATTCCACTCATTTACTACTCACTAACCATGAAATAAGTTCTTCATCTTTCTGCTACATCTCTAATTTGGCAGCATCGCCCAGTGCTTGTTTATGGGACTCTTAAGTGAATTTGTCTTCACTTGTTTTTAACATTATTTTTAAACCTTGCCACCCTGCTTTAATGTTTTGGCATAGTTTGTCCTCTTGTATTTTCCACTGTGGACAGTGAATGCATCAGGCAGTTCTGCTCACCAGAATGTGCATGCTGCCAGCACCGTCTCGGCACCCAGATCCTACCACGCTGCCTTCCCAATCCAGCACACGAGTGTCTGGCCCACACATCACTCAGGTAAACAGCTCTGGGTCACAGCCAAGATCCAGTGCTTAGTAAGATTAAATACTGAGGGCCAGTTACAGCACAGACACTGCTGCCATGAAGGGAATAACACAGCTGTGCCACAGGGGCAGAATCCAGTCTTGCCCATAGTGTGAAGCCACTGCTCTGCTTGGCTGAGTCCCAGGCATGTTCCTCCCTGCCTGTTTGTGCTTTCTGTTCCACATCCAGCTCAAGGCATTCTCAAGTGTGTCTGTACTCAGTCTTTTTGGGCCACCCTTCCACCTAATCCTTTCTTTCAGGGTCTCCAATCTCAAAGGTCTCCTCACCATCTCAAGTCACTTACCCTAATTACATTGCTATGCTGTATTCAAGTATTAAGTTGTATTAAACACCTTTAACACAGACACTTCCCTTGGTATCACAATAGACAATCTCACTTCTCTTTAAACCCCCTCATCTTACGTTTGCCATATCCAAACCATTCCCTATTCCCTTTTCTCTGCTGGACCCATTCTTAGAGCCCGTTTGACCTGACTCATGGAGGAATTCATCTTTGTGATCCTTCTGAGGTATCACTCACTTCTACACGACCCCTCATCATGTCTCACTCCCTGACGTGTTCAGAGAGCTCTTCCTCCACGTTCCTCTGCCCGCCAGGTGCTTTCCCTTACACAGCCTCGGAGCGCACTCATCCTCCCTCCCTCCCTGTCTTACATTTTCAGCCAATCCTCCCCTTTTCCGCGATTAGACGTCACTAGTCCAGCCAGGCGCGTTGTGCTCAGAGCAATGGTGGCTGCCAGAAGAAACTGCTAAACCAGCAAAGGCAAAAACTAAAGGTGAAGAGGAAAACCGTCGTGTGTCGTGGCTGTGGAGCCCTGCACGAAGGGACACTCGTGTTTGGTCATCATCATTATGTCAGCGATGATTTATAAGTGTCCCGCTCGGTGCTGGGGTTTGGGAAAATCCCTGGGGCGCTCACCAGAACTGAGGGGAGCCTGTTGGTGCTAAACTATTTCAGCGGGAGACAGCATGGGAATCTGTGAAGGAGAACAGACAGAAGAACAGCTCTGCTGTTTCTCCTCCCATGGAAACCGATGAGCTCTGTGCAGCGGCAGCTGTCCCCGCTCCAGCACTCACCCCCGCCTGGAAGGAGAACATAAAAAGCTCACACAATAATGGGAACCCGAAAGTAAATAGAGTCTGCCTGCGAACCAAGGGCGACCGGACCTCGGACGGAGCCCAAATCGCCAGCGCGGAGGTGCCAGGACCCCGGTATCGCCTTTCACACGAGAGGAAGGATGGTGGGGCCCCGGCGAGCCGAAATTCCGGGCTCCTGCTCGGGAGGTGTGGCAGACACCCCGCGCTGAGCCCTGCGGGCCCCCCCCCAGCCCGGGCTCACTCTCAGCCCCGCGCTTCTCCCGATGGATGGGACGGGAAGAACTTTTGGCAGCATCGCCGGGTGAATCTGCTCCGAGCCCCTCTTCCTGGCCGAGGCAGGCTGTGCCTGCTGGCGGAGGAGCAGTGGCGTCAGGATGCCCCTCAAAAAACTCGCAGCTGCTCCTTGGGGAGCAAGAGATAACTTTTAGCTATCAGGAGCTCGGGATAACAGTTTCATATGCAGAGGATTTCTAGATTCCCATGAAAATCCTCATTACCCGCACCCAGGCACAGAAACAGGGACCCACTTCATGCCATTCAGCACATCACAGGCAAGAACTCGTCTCTTTAACACAACAGATCGGTCTGCTGACCCCCAGTCAGAGACCACCGGGCTTGACGGAAGCTGCCGGGGAGGACACCAGCGACAGCAGGCACGGGGACTCGGTCCCGCTCGTGCGGCAGGAGCGGCTCCGAGCCGAGCACTCGGAGTCTCTGACAACTCCGAGGAAGCATTTCCCTGCCTGTAAAATCTAGTTTGGAAGCTGCAAAACATCCTCCGACCACCACGGCGGAGCGGGCGCTGCAGTCGCTTCCCCTCCGCTCCTCCCGCTCCCGGAGCCGCCCGCAGAAGCGCTCGGCAGCGCTCCCGGCTGCCAGCCCCGCCTCGGCTGCCAGGACTGCGCCTGATGACATCGCCTGAACCAGCAGCGCTCTCCAGAACAACGTGCGGCAGTCAGAACAGCCTGGGCTTACAGCGACTGACAGCTCTAAGCGAAACTGGCATCGTTTATTCAAGGCACTGACGGATATTCTAGAGCCTTCTGTTAACGAACCCTGCCCACATTATTCCACGATAAAGCATCCACGAGCTGTTTCTAAAGTTAAGATTGCTTTATGTTTCTAACAGAAATATTGGAATATTTTCTTGACAGTGTACGCCTATAGCAAACCCCGATAAAGTCTTCAACTCATTGCTACAATCAGAGACACCAAGGGGAGCCGAACAGAAGCCAAATCCTCCCCTGCCCCAAATGATTGACACTGAGACCCCACATCACCCTCAATCATAACCTAAAGAAACGAGTCTCTTCCCACACCTGGGGGCAAATGCTGTTTCTCCATCTTCTACAGAGGTCGTTAAATCTGTAACGTATAATCGTTTATAAGCTTAAAATAGACGGTTTTCCTTTAGAAAATCGTGGTCCCATCACATCCATGTGAACAAAGGAAAGAAGTGACAGCTTTACAGAGCTGGGGTAACCCTTGCTGGTCACAAGTGGAGGTGGTTCATGAACAGTTAATCACATCACAGGGTGATGACACACTCCCCTTCAGCACGGACACCCGCTCACGATCAAAAGAGACTGAATAAGCAATCCCGAGCAAATACACAAAGAACTCAAATTTAAAGCCGGTACTAAGACATGTAAGAGAAGAGAAAATCGTGGGACATGTTCAAATGATTTCCTACAGATCGACGAGAGATAACCCACTCCTAATACTTTTCAAAAAGGACATGAAGTTTTCAAAATTCGTTGCTCTTTTCTATACACCTATAAGCACCATTCTCATGATTTTGGAAAAAACGATCCATCATTTAAGTTCTTCAGTCCGTGTCCTTTCTCTAAAGAACTCGATTAGCTCAAAACCCAACCAAGCAAACTTTGTCAAAATAAAAATGCCGCGTTTACAGATGTCACTGTATCTTAAAAATATGGGGGTTAACCAAATGAACTGAATGCATAACATGAAATTATATACGTACTGCTTGTTTTTATTACCCTGGCAGCTTTATCCATTTCACTTTTAAGCTATAGACAAAATTAAGTGAAATAGAAAAGATCTTCACTTTCCCTTTAAAAATTGTTCTAATTTTCTGACACTGAACAAGAAACGCTGAACATGACCCTAAAGTCTTATCTCAAAGAGTTCTTCGAAGCTTGCCAAGATGAGAACCGAGTCAATTCAGTGTCATCAGTGCACGGACAAGATCACCTGAAAAACAGTGGTGTTGAAAACAACCTGGTAATTAAACAATCGCTCTCTGCATCGGGAAATCGCTGAGGAAAATAGGATCAAAACTGTTCTCTTGGTTTTTTCTGCTCTACTGCCGGGAGAGCCCAAAGCTTTCAACCTACCATCTCCGAACTATTGAACACCACACATAGAAAAATTCCTTTATAATTCTCCCTGAATCACTTTTCCTGCCTCTTTCCACTCCCACCAAATTTGGACTTTTCTTTCCACAGCGCATTTCTGGATGGATGGGATAAAAGAGAAGCCCCAATACTATGAAGAGTGAGATCAGGTCGTGGGGCATGGCCAGAGAGCACCCCCTCCCTCAAACACTTCTCCATTTTTCCACAAAGCATCCTGAATTTTGCTTCACTCCACCCTCACACACGCACATGTTTCTGACAGACTTCCAGAGACAGAACAACACTCATAACCTCCACCAACATTTCATCAACTCTTTTTGCCCCAAAATTGTCACTGCATGGATTTCAGCTTCTCAAGAGCAGTGAATCACAAGAATCAGAAAGATTCTATAAATTCAAAAACTCGCAAGTGCGTCTTGGCACACATGAACACGACAGTCAGCAAATAAGTGTAAAGGCGCCTGGTTTGAAGACACAATTACATTCACCATGAAGAAAATATCAAACTACTGAAGAACTCACACGTCGAAAGGCACTTAAAATAGGAAAATAAAATATCTCTAAGACCTAGCACTGCACTTTGATGCCAAGTAGGCAGTAAAAAAAAAAAAAAAGATAAAAATAACGTCCTATCCAAGACAATTTTTTAAAAAATGAAAGAAGGAAAGAAAATATGGAAATTTTGAGGGGCAGTCGTATATTGAGAAAATGAAATTTCATATAGTGAACAGGCATATCTAAGGCACATCATCACATCTAAATGCAACACACTACAAAGCTAGTACATTCTTCTTAAACTCTTATCACAGAAAAGATGTTTTAAAACTTCGAAGATTCATGTATTAAGTGAGAGATGTAAATTTCGAAGACCCTTACCACGCTTGAAGCAAGAGGGGAGAGAGACGGCCCCTTCCCAGCAGAACCGTTTTCTGCAGCAGGGCCAGGCGGCGGCGGCGGCGGAGGGAAGTTGGGGCTGAAAACCATGAGGTCGCTCTTGCCCGCGCCGTCCGCCACGCACAGGCTGCGGCTGTGGCGCTGCGAGTACGACCAGCTGCCCACTTCGCTGGCGCACACCAGCGTCGTGGGCCCGGGCCCCGACAGCACGGCCGCCCGCGGCGCCCAGCGCGACGCCCCGTACAGCACCACGGCCAGCAGGAACAGGCTCGACACGGCGCAGATCGCCACCACCAGCCACACGTTCGTCGCCGCGCTCGCCGCCCCGGCGCCCAGCTCCGCGCCCGCACCCGCCGCCCGCGACAACGACGACAAAGACGACGACAAAGACGACGAGGATCCCGCGGCCAGCGCCGCCTCGGCCGCCTCCACCAGCGACACGCTGAGCGTGGCCGTGGCCGAGCGCGCCGGCTCGCCGTGGTCGCGCACGACGATCAGCAGCCTCTGGCGAGGGCCGTCCGCCTCGTCCAGCGCCCGCGCCGTGCTCACCTCGCCGCTGTAGAGCCCCACGCGGAACGGGCCCTTGCCCCGCGGCTCCCACAGCTCGTAGCGCAGCCACGCGTTGTAGCCCGAGTCGGCGTCCACGGCGCGGATCTTCGCCACCACCTGCCCCGCCGGCGCCCCCCACGCCGCCCACGCCCACAGCGTGCCCGAGACCGAGACCGCTCCCAGCTCCGCCGCCTCGGCCGCCACGCCGCCCGCCTCCGGTGCCGAGCCCGCGGGCGGCAGCAGCGCCGGAGCGTTGTCGTTCTCGTCCAGCACGAACAGCTGCACCGTGGCGTTGCCGCACAGCGGCGGCTCCCCCGCGTCCACCGCGCGCACCTCGAACTGCAGCACCTGCAGCTCCTCGTAGTCCAAGGGCTGCAGCGCCCACACGCGCCCGCTCTCCGCGTCCACCGACACGTAGCTCGACGCCGGCCGCCACCCGCCGCCCGCCGCCCCCGACGGCGACACCGCCGCCGCGCCGCCCTCCCACACCGAGTAGCTCACGCGCCCGTTGCCCGCCTCGTCCGGGTCCCGCGCCCACAGCCGCGCCAGCTCCGCGCCCGCCGCGTTGTTCTCCCGCGCCAGCACCGTGTACACGGCCTGCGCGAACGCCGGCGCGTTGTCGTTCACGTCCGACACCGGCACCCGCAGCCCGCGGCTGGCGCGCAGCGCCGGCGCCCCGCCGTCCTCCGCACGCACCTCCACCTCGTACTCCGACACCCGCTCCCGGTCCAGCGCCTCGCGCAGCACCAGCGAGTACGAGCCCGCGAACGTCGCCTCCAGACCGAACGGCGACGCCGGCCACACCCAGCACCGCACACGACCGTTCGCCCCCGAGTCCCGGTCCGACACGCTCAGCAGGGCCACCACCGTCCCCACCGGCGCGTCCTCCGACACCGGCACCGACAGCGACGTCACCCACACCTCCGGCGCGTTGTCGTTCATGTCCAGCACCTCCAGCTCCACGCTGCAGTGACCTGACAGCGGGGGGAAGCCTTTGTCCCTTGCTTCTACAGGGATCTCGTAACTATCAATTTCTTCATAATCTAGTTTCCCTTGAAGTCTGATTTCTCCTTTGTTTTCATCGATAGTGAACATTTCTTTAACTTTTGTACTAACACGTCTACTAAATGAATATACTATATCGCTATTGATCCCTTCGTCAGGATCAGTGGCACTAAGCGTGATTAACAGAGTCCCGTGCTCTGAACCTTCTAAGACTTTAACTTTATACACGGACTGGTTGAATTGGGGCGGATTGTCGTTTGCATCCAGCACCGTGATCACGAGTTCCATGGTGCCTGTCAGAGACGGCCGGCCCCCGTCACTCGCTGTCAGAACCAACCGGTGAACGGGAATCGTCTCCCGGTCCAAAGCTTTCGTTAAAATAAGACCCAAAGACGCTCTCTGGTCATTATTTCCCTGATGATCAAGACTGAAATACTCGCTGGGACTGAGTGTATAGGTGAGCTGAGCGTTCGCTCCGATATCCGCATCCGTCGCGCCCTCCAGAGGGAAACGAGACCCAGGCACAGACGATTCTGCGATGCTGAGGGCTTCTTCATCCACACGGAAGACGGGGGCATTGTCGTTGATGTCGGTGACCTCCAGCTCCACATGGAACACGCGCAGCGGCCGCTCCACCAGCACCTCCAGGCGCAGCGCGCACGGCGCGCTCTTGCCGCACAGCTCCTCCCGGTCGAGCCGCGAGCTCAGCACCAGCGCGCCGCTCGCCCCGCTCACCTCCACGCTCGCCCGCCGGCCCTGCGCCACCAGCCGCAGCCGCCGCGCCTCCGCCTCGCCCGCCTCCAGGCCCAGGTCCTGCGCCAGACGGCCCAGCACCGTGCCGGCCTTCGCTTCCTCCGGCACCGAGTAGCGCACCTGCCCGCCCGCCACCGCCCAGGCCGCCTGCAGCACCAGCACCCGCACCAACAACGCGCACCGCCGCTCGCCCATCCCTGACGCCGCCGCCGCCGCCGCTCTGCCTGCCGGCCCCGGCACGGGCCCCGCACGGCTCCCCGCCGCCGCCCGGACGCAGCGGCTCTGCTGCCCGGCCCGCGCCGCCCCCCCGCGCTCACAGCCGGGCTCTCCGCCGCACCGGGGCGGAGCCGCCCACACGCCGTTCCTGAGCCTGCAGCGACACCGTGCGCTGCTCCGCCGCCTCACACGCTCCCAACACAGCGCCTGTGCCTCCGCTTCGTCACGGCCATCTCCTCTGCCGTCCCTGCCTTCTATGTCTCTTCTTACAATGCTCCTTTGATATTTTTTCTTTGCACCTTTGCCGCTGCTTTCTTCTTTACCCCTTCCTCTATCCCGACAGTCACCTCTGGCACCGCACTGCAAATAAAAGTATTCGGATCCACCAACGCTAATTTCGTGGCATCAGCGCTTGAATGCAGTATTCTACGAGGCGGAGGCTTTTGACAACCGGCTCCGGCCACCGATTTGAGGCAACGTCCGTGAGTAATCCTGTTTTTAAATTTCCCATCTTCCATTAGTAATTACCTCCTTGGGCCAACCTTTTCTAGTATCTTCCTGGTTTTATTTCCCTTCCTCCTTTCCTTCTTTTTTCTTTCCTTTGTTGCCTCCTTCCATTTTTGTGTACAGTGGTAATGTCGGTGACGTAACAGTAAATTAAATTATAATTTGTCCCTTTCACTCTTTTTCTACTACTTTCTTCTTTCCTTCTCTTTCTCTAGATCCAGCTTTCTTTCCTTCATTGCTCTCTGCTTCCTTTCTATTTTCTTCCATTTCCATCCTCTGTTCACTTTTCCATTACCAGGAACTGAATTGTCTTACCGTCTGTTCAACATTCTTGACATGGTGTAGGGACACATTCCTTGGAAAAAGCTCTCCTTCCTCTTTCCTTCTGACTTCAGGGAAACGTTCAGAGAAAGCACGGCACCATGATACACATTTCAAAAAGCTTCTCATTGACAAACAATATTCCACATCAAAGCCGCGTATTTTATAATTAAAGGCACACAGGGCAGATGTCTTCACAAGCAGCAATACCAGAAGGAACAACAGTACCCCAAGTTATGCAGAATTTCTGGACACCCTGCTGGGATTCCAAAAGAGCAGCACTGTGTGCTGGGATCCTCCTCACAATATTCTACTGTAACCCTGTATGTACACCCTGTGAACTGGAATCCCCACAGTTAAGCAGACACTCCCTATTCCCTCCCCAAGACTTACTCAATTCCTCCACGCCTCCATGCCTGGCACAAAGAATATATAAAGTGCTGCAAATCCATTCTGTGATTCTTTGACTTTTCCCTCATGCCAGGATGCTTTGAGCTTTTTCAGCAGTAGCTGATACAAACCGAGTTCTTAAAGGTTCTGTGATTAGAGGCATGAACAATACTGATTCCAATCCCCATTTATCTCCTTCTTCTAGATGTCACACCAAAAGCACAAGTGAACTCGAAAAGTTAACTGGGTGAGAGAATTTCAAGAATAGGACACCAGAGCTGGGCTGCTCTGTAGATGTGGAGCTTTGGAGTGTCCATCCAGACACCAGAATGAGCCCTGTGTGATAACAGGACACACCATCTCCACCCAGACTGATCATGCAGGAGAACATGTAGGGGAAGAAAAACACAACTAGATTACACCCACCCCCTCAACTGCCATTAAAAATCCTCTCTGAAGAGCACCACAGATGCCTTCACACTAAGAACTGTGGAAGCTGGAACAAATACCCTACAATACACATGGAAAGCAGTTTGTAGTGCTGCCTTCCACAACAACTTTCCTAAAGTGGCAGCAAAAATGTTCATCAGTCTGAATGTTACCAGCTCTTTTCCAACACATTCCCTATGTCAGGCCAGAGACAGCACAAGGAACTGTCTCTGATGGGTGATATTCATAACCCCAAAGTGCCCATTTCAATACCACCTATTAGCTCAAGATCCAGAAGGTCAGCAACACCAGACACTTGGAACTTGGAAAAGGATCCTGGGCAGAATTACTCTGGGCCCATCCTGCCTCCCGCTTTCCTCTAAGAATCCTCCATTCCCCAGCCCGAAACAATTATTGTCCAGAAAATAATGCAATTCCCACTCCTGTCCTCCTTTGATATCACACAATGTCTGACAAATGATTGCAGGTTCCCTCAGAGGAGGCTTCCCAGTGCTCAAGGGCACCTTTCACACCAGGACATGGCCAGGGCCTACTCAGTGTCACTGCCACATTCACCTCTGTGACAAAGCACAATTTCCGTTCCTACCTCAGAAGTCAATTACACTTTTGCTTACCCTGCCCAGCAATGACAGCACTCTGAAATCCACCCAGATGGCATCACATACATGGTCTGGCACACTCTGCAGCTGTACCTTGAGCTCTGGTACAGACACCTGAAATCAATATTTACTGCAGCAGTCATGGGCAGGACAGCTCTCATGGCAATGGACATTGATGTCGTGCTGAGAGAGACCAAGCAACACCGTGATGAACACATCAATACAGTGGCTGTGTACTGGGTACAAGAAATTGGTTGGAAGATTTTTTTCGTTGTTATCATTGTTCAGATGAGGATTTACAAGGATCTTGTAAAGATGTCCCAAATGTAAATATTGAAAAAAACATACCAAAAAAAGGTCAGTGGCCACCAAACCACCTGTCCAGACAGGAGAGCAAATTATAACTACAGCTGACAAATACTGTGTGGGACATGACAAAACATGACAAGACCACAGACCCTTCCTAGTTTCCATAATGCCATAAGGACAGAAGTCCTAATGGTCACCTTGCCTTGCATCTCTTGTAGAGGACAAATGACAAAACATGAGGCCTGAGAAGAAACTACAAGTGATACCACCATGGTCAGCAGCCAGCAAAGGTAATGAGGGGATACACAACACCTGTAGGACAGTCACCAGCACAGCTTATCATGCACACATTTAGTAAGTTCGGGGAAAACCTACACAACCAGAAAGCAAGAGCGTTGTCTCCAAAACTGAAACTTCGAATCACGGAATGCTATATGAGAGCATGATAGGAAACTATTGCTCTACTGCAATCAGGAACGATTTAATTCTAGGGCAGAACAATTGCTACCCACAGCAGCAAAATTCCAGGTGCGTACCCAAGGGGTTACTGCGAGAACACCTACAAGGACAAGGCAGCACAAATCAAGGTGCAATTAACACACTTAAGCACCCATCGCACTCATAGTGCGGGGGCGGAGCCCGGCTAATAGCGGAACCAGATTAGGAAACCAGAGGTAGTGGAAAAAAGGGGGAGAGAATAGAGGCGAGCAAAGGCCGTGCCACTGACCGTGTCGAGGAGAGCGGACGGCTCCGGCTGCGTGTCCTTGGCCGCGGGGCCAGGCGGCGGCGGCGGCGGAGGGAAGTTGGGGCTGAAAACCATGAGGTCGCTCTTGCCCGCGCCGTCCGCCACGCACAGGCTGCGGCTGTGGCGCTGCGAGTACGACCAGCTGCCCACTTCGCTGGCGCACACCAGCGTCGTGGGCCCGGGCCCCGACAGCACGGCCGCCCGCGGCGCCCAGCGCGACGCCCCGTACAGCACCACGGCCAGCAGGAACAGGCTCGACACGGCGCAGATCGCCACCACCAGCCACACGTTCGTCGCCGCGCTCGCCGCCCCGGCGCCCAGCTCCGCGCCCGCACCCGCCGCCCGCGACAACGACGACAAAGACGACGACAAAGACGACGAGGATCCCGCGGCCAGCGCCGCCTCGGCCGCCTCCACCAGCGACACGCTGAGCGTGGCCGTGGCCGAGCGCGCCGGCTCGCCGTGGTCGCGCACGACGATCAGCAGCCTCTGGCGAGGGCCGTCCGCCTCGTCCAGCGCCCGCGCCGTGCTCACCTCGCCGCTGTAGAGCCCCACGCGGAACGGGCCCTTGCCCCGCGGCTCCCACAGCTCGTAGCGCAGCCACGCGTTGTAGCCCGAGTCGGCGTCCACGGCGCGGATCTTCGCCACCACCTGCCCCGCCGGCGCCCCCCACGCCGCCCACGCCCACAGCGTGCCCGAGACCGAGACCGCTCCCAGCTCCGCCGCCTCGGCCGCCACGCCGCCCGCCTCCGGTGCCGAGCCCGCGGGCGGCAGCAGCGCCGGAGCGTTGTCGTTCTCGTCCAGCACGAACAGCTGCACCGTGGCGTTGCCGCACAGCGGCGGCTCCCCCGCGTCCACCGCGCGCACCTCGAACTGCAGCACCTGCAGCTCCTCGTAGTCCAAGGGCTGCAGCGCCCACACGCGCCCGCTCTCCGCGTCCACCGACACGTAGCTCGACGCCGGCCGCCACCCGCCGCCCGCCGCCCCCGACGGCGACACCGCCGCCGCGCCGCCCTCCCACACCGAGTAGCTCACGCGCCCGTTGCCCGCCTCGTCCGGGTCCCGCGCCCACAGCCGCGCCAGCTCCGCGCCCGCCGCGTTGTTCTCCCGCGCCAGCACCGTGTACACGGCCTGCGCGAACGCCGGCGCGTTGTCGTTCACGTCCGACACCGGCACCCGCAGCCCGCGGCTGGCGCGCAGCGCCGGCGCCCCGCCGTCCTCCGCACGCACCTCCACCTCGTACTCCGACACCCGCTCCCGGTCCAGCGCCTCGCGCAGCACCAGCGAGTACGAGCCCGCGAACGTCGCCTCCAGACCGAACGGCGACGCCGGCCACACCCAGCACCGCACACGACCGTTCGCCCCCGAGTCCCGGTCCGACACGCTCAGCAGGGCCACCACCGTCCCCACCGGCGCGTCCTCCGGCACCGGCACCGACAGCGACGTCACCCACACCTCCGGCGCGTTGTCGTTCACGTCCAGCACCTCCAGCACCACCTTGCAGTGACCCGACAGTGGAGGTGTCCCTTGATCTGTAGCATCCACTTGCAGGCGATAGAGACTGACATCCTCAAAGTCTAAGTCATTCCTGAGGCGAATCTCTCCGGTCCTTCTATCTATTTCGAAAACGTCTTTTCCATCCTGAGGGAACAGAGTCTCGAGGGAATACATGACATTTCTGTTTGACCCTTCATCTAAATCCGTGGCATTAAGTTTGATGACTAAGGTGCCGTGTTCTGTATTTTCTGGAAGCTGCACTTTATACACCGACTGGTTGAACTGGGGCGGATTGTCGTTTGCATCCAGCACCGAGATCAGCAGCTCCATGGTGCCTGTCAGAGACGGCCGGCCCCCGTCACTCGCCGTCAGCACCAACCGGTGAACGGGAATCGTCTCCCGGTCCAAAGATTTCGTGAGTACAAGAAACAAGGATTCTCGGTATTCCTCACTCCGTTGCAAATCCAGAGAGAAATGCTCGCTGGGACTGAGTGTATAGGTGAGCTGAGCGTTCACTCCGATATCCGCATCCGATGCGCCCTCCAGCGGGAAACGAGAGCCCGGCAGAGTAGATAATTCCGCGATGCTGAGGTTTTTTCGGGCGGCGGGGAAGACGGGGGCATTGTCGTTGATGTCGGTGACCTCCAGCTCCACATGGAACACGCGCAGCGGCCGCTCCACCAGCACCTCCAGGCGCAGCGCGCACGGCGCGCTCTTGCCGCACAGCTCCTCCCGGTCGAGCCGCGAGCTCAGCACCAGCGCGCCGCTCGCCCCGCTCACCTCCACGCTCGCCCGCCGGCCCTGCGCCACCAGCCGCAGCCGCCGCGCCTCCGCCTCGCCCGCCTCCAGGCCCAGGTCCTGCGCCAGACGGCCCAGCACCGTGCCGGCCTTCGCTTCCTCCGGCACCGAGTAGCGCACCTGCCCGCCCGCCACCGCCCAGGCCGCCTGCAGCACCAGCACCCGCAGCACGGCTCCCCACCGCATCGCCGCCGCTGGTGCCTCCAGCCCCTTCCCTGGCCCTGTCCGGCTCCCCGCCGCTCCCCCGACGTCCGCCTTAGGGTCTCCCTGGGAGGAGAGGCACGCCGTTCCGCTTTCTCTGTGCTCCACCCGGGCCGGTCTCCCGCATCGTTCTTCCCGCTGACGGCACCGTGACTGAGGCTCGGGGAGGAGCTGCCGCCCTTCCGTGTCTCACGGCGCCTTCGCGGCCAACAGCGGCACCTGGTGTCCGACCGTGGCTCCTTCGTGAGCCGCTGCCTGCTGTCCTGTTCCCGCTGCCGCAGCGGCTCTGTGCGGGGATGGACCTGCCGCGGCTCCGCCCGCTCGCCCGCCATGCTCCGGGGTTTCCCGTCCGAACATTGCCTTCCTCCGCAGCGGTAATAGTGAGTTCTTTTGTCTCCTCCCCTTCTCGTCCTCTTCTCCTCTTTCTTTTATCCTTCCTTAAGGCACTTTAATTGAGAAGTACACTTGCCAGAACGTACATATTAATCCAGGAGTCGTACCTAGGAATATCTTCACTGCATAAAGCCTACCCTGCTTCTGATCTCCAGACTTAATCTTCTCTTATGCCTGAGGCGGCATAACTCGATTTTCTCATTTATGTTTTCTTCTGGAACATATTTCAGCTGTTTCCTCTACAGAAGAAGACTCGATCGGAAGTACAGAAATATCAGATACAGAAGTATCCTCGATCTTCCATCTATAGAAAGTACTCGGGTCTTCAGAAGACAGATTCACATGTAATGTGTGTGGTCTAGTCCAGGAATGATAGAAACGAACAGAAATTGCTTACCTTTTCATGGATTTGTGACAGGGATGTAGCTGAGCAATTCCACACAGTCTCCTTGGCTTTTTGTAGAGTAAATAATACAGTAAACCCATCATATTACAAATACCTGTGCCTGTCCATAGCAGAATTGTTTTGCCTTCTGAAATGTATTTCCAACCGAGTAAAGCATCAGCGGGTACCAATTCCACAAACCTTCAACTCCATCAGCAACGTCCTAACTCTATGCTCTAAACATAATCGACAGAGCAGAAATCCTCTCAGAAGAGTAAAATAGCTCAGGGAACCTGAACTCTCATCTTTATGTGTCAGTGAAGTATTTTCTGTAAGTTTTATCTCCCAAGTGTAGCTGGACAATGAAGATCACAGTCTTGGTTATTATTTTTAGGCAGGTAGAAACTCACAGTATGGCAAGACAATATTCCCATTACTGATAGAGATGAGCAGCTGCAGGACACAGCAGAATCAAACAACCCTGACACAACTGAAGACAAGATAAAAGGATTGCACCATTTTTCTGGCAAGGCACAGTTCATCTCATAACATGTTCCCAGGCTCCCGCCCCATCTACTGATATAAATACATCAGAGCCTCTTCTGGACACAACTACAGCACTTGCTGCTGCCCTGCCCTGTAGGCCAGACAGTAACATAAACCAGGGAATTTCACAGATTACCGAGTTGTTGGTTCAACCACAGGAAGAATCAACGATGCATGCACCCAGAGGTAAAAAACAATACAAAAGGACATTACAAAACACTAAAAAAGTCTATGTAGATCCCTCGACAGGTATTTTTAATTACACCTGTTGCTGTTCTAACTGTTGTCTTGATTTACTTCTAGGTCTCTATTGTCAGGCTTGTGTTCAAGGATCACTGCTCCAAATTTCAGGGAAGCAGGGCTGAAAAAGCAAACATGTTTTTTTCCATCCTCTCAAATCCCCGCTGGCTTGCCAGTATTTCTGTACCCGTTTCTATGAAGGCAGAAACAAATGAAACCTGAAGCTTCACGGCTTTCTCTCAAAGTAAAATTCACCTTGAGAGACTACAAGACAGGGAATCAGAGTGACGGCAAGAGGCACAGACTCTGACATAAGAGAGCATTATTTGGCAGCATGGCTTTCACTCACAATTTTCAACACACCTCCTGATAAAGTCAAACTAAATCCCTCTATGAGGAAATTGGGAGTTTCAAGCATCATCCATCTTTGTACTCACGTGATTATGATAAGGCAAGCACACAATGAGACAAAAAAAAATCTGTTTATTTTAAAAAGTATTCTCAGGGAAGGGAAAATAAAATAAAATTAAATAAACACAGATAATGTTAAAGTCCCACAACAACCTAGAAATTCAATGCCTATGACTGCTGGGTACATGGGACTACCCAAGTCAGAAACCAAACTGAGGTGCTTCTATAAATACGTTAATCCACCAAAAACAACTCCTTTAACAATATGTCTTGCTCGGTCTGTCACTACAGCTGCACATTTTGACATCTACTTCAGTTCGTGTTCTTCTGCAATTAAGTATCTCACATTGAAAGGGCATTTCAATCATGCTTAGAAGGGGGAAACGTGAAATACATATATTTTTCATGTTCATAGTAATTCTGTACTACTTTGCAAACAAATACATGCCATGCATGCTGAAGAAACCAGAACTTTCTATTTGGATTCTGTTTCAGAGGCGAATCAAAAAGGAGCACAGACTTCTGAGCAAGAAAAGACTGGAAACCAACAACTTACAGCAGTCAAAAGCAAGAAATTCTTCAGAACTTCCCCACCTGTAAGACAGGGAAATGTAGGCAAGTGAAGATGCTCCATTCAAAATTTAAGACTGAAAGAGGCACTCAGAGTTGTGATTAACAGCACAGATGGAAGAAAACCAGACCTGGTAACACCAACAAGATAAGGTAAACACTGCAGCTGGGCAGAGATCTTTACCAAGAATTGTTCCATTTAATAACTCATGAGGGGATCTCAGAAATTCACGGACAGTGATGTACCAAAGATTACAGGAGATATCACCCTACGGAGCACAGATCAAATACAGCTCTACTGAAAGGAACTGCAGAAAGAGTTGACGACTCTGAAGACCTAGATAGGAAACTGGCAAAATATTTTTGATGAAGGGAACTACAAGGCTGAGTGGACCAGAGAAAGATGTTGCTTCAACACAGACTCTGACTGATTCTGAAACAGCCACTGAAGGTTATAAAATTATAGAATAGAGAAGAAAGTGACACATATATGACCTCCATTCTCAGTGCCATCAAAAAGGCAAGACTCACAAGACGCTGCAAGACAAAAAAGTATTTCATTCAACTTTGCACAGAGCACACCAAAATTTAAGTATTTTTCAGTGCTCCCCTTCTAAACACGATAAGTGGAAGAGAGACCAGAGTGGCATAAAAAAACCTGCTGCGACGTAACACATTACGCAGCATGAAGAAGGGAGACAATGAAACCGGCAGTCAAAGGGTAAACGACGATAGAACACGGACCGCCCCTGAGCAACGAGGGCGGAGTCCGGCTCCAGACAGAAACTGTCAAGGGGAAGGGTAAGAGGGGGCAGAGCAAGAAAGGCAGTGCCACTGACCGTGTCGAGGAGAGCGGACGGCTCCGGCTGCGTGTCCTTGGCCGCGGGGCCAGGCGGCGGCGGCGGCGGAGGGAAGTTGGGGCTGAAAACCATGAGGTCGCTCTTGCCCGCGCCGTCCGCCACGCACAGGCTGCGGCTGTGGCGCTGCGAGTACGACCAGCTGCCCACTTCGCTGGCGCACACCAGCGTCGTGGGCCCGGGCCCCGACAGCACGGCCGCCCGCGGCGCCCAGCGCGACGCCCCGTACAGCACCACGGCCAGCAGGAACAGGCTCGACACGGCGCAGATCGCCACCACCAGCCACACGTTCGTCGCCGCGCTCGCCGCCCCGGCGCCCAGCTCCGCGCCCGCACCCGCCGCCCGCGACAACGACGACAAAGACGACGAGGATCCCGCGGCCAGCGCCGCCTCGGCCGCCTCCACCAGCGACACGCTGAGCGTGGCCGTGGCCGAGCGCGCCGGCTCGCCGTGGTCGCGCACGACGATCAGCAGCCTCTGGCGAGGGCCGTCCGCCTCGTCCAGCGCCCGCGCCGTGCTCACCTCGCCGCTGTAGAGCCCCACGCGGAACGGGCCCTTGCCCCGCGGCTCCCACAGCTCGTAGCGCAGCCACGCGTTGTAGCCCGAGTCGGCGTCCACGGCGCGGATCTTCGCCACCACCTGCCCCGCCGGCGCCCCCCACGCCGCCCACGCCCACAGCGTGCCCGAGACCGAGACCGCCCCCAGCTCCGCCGCCTCGGCCGCCACGCCGCCCGCCTCCGGTGCCGAGCCCGCGGGCGGCAGCAGCGCCGGAGCGTTGTCGTTCTCGTCCAGCACGAACAGCTGCACCGTGGCGTTGCCGCACAGCGGCGGCTCCCCCGCGTCCACCGCGCGCACCTCGAACTGCAGCACCTGCAGCTCCTCGTAGTCCAAGGGCTGCAGCGCCCACACGCGCCCGCTCTCCGCGTCCACCGACACGTAGCTCGACGCCGGCCGCCACCCGCCGCCCGCCGCCCCCGACGGCGACACCGCCGCCGCGCCGCCCTCCCACACCGAGTAGCTCACGCGCCCGTTGCCCGCCTCGTCCGGGTCCCGCGCCCACAGCCGCGCCAGCTCCGCGCCCGCCGCGTTGTTCTCCCGCGCCAGCACCGTGTACACGGCCTGCGCGAACGCCGGCGCGTTGTCGTTCACGTCCGACACCGGCACCCGCAGCCCGCGGCTGGCGCGCAGCGCCGGCGCCCCGCCGTCCTCCGCACGCACCTCCACCTCGTACTCCGACACCCGCTCCCGGTCCAGCGCCTCGCGCAGCACCAGCGAGTACGAGCCCGCGAACGTCGCCTCCAGACCGAACGGCGACGCCGGCCACACCCAGCACCGCACACGACCGTTCGCCCCCGAGTCCCGGTCCGACACGCTCAGCAGGGCCACCACCGTCCCCACCGACGCGTCCTCCGACACCGGCACCGACAGCGACGTCACCCACACCTCCGGCGCGTTGTCGTTCACGTCCAGCACCTCCAGCTCCACGCTGCAGTGACCCGACAGCGGGGGTGTCCCTTTATCTGTCGCTTCGATTTGCAATTCGTGTAAACGGACATTTTCGAAATCCAGGGTACCCATGAGTCTGATCTCGCCTGTCTTGGTGTCAATGGTAAAGAGTTCTTTGTTACCGACGGGACTTGACCTCAAGATGCTATAAGAAAACTCTTTATTGCTTCCTTCGTCCGGATCCGTGGCATTCACGCGCACTACAAGTGTCCCCTCTGTAGCATTCTCCGGTAGCTGCACTTTATATACCGACTGGTTGAACTGGGGTGCGTTATCATTCGCATCCAGCACTGAGATCAGCAGCTCCATTGTCCCTGTCAGTGACGGCCGGCCCCCGTCACTCGCTGTCAGAACCAACCGGTGAACGGGAATCGTCTCCCGGTCTAAAGGCTTTGCGAGCACCAGAAACAGAGACTTCCTGTTTTCATCAGACGATTTAACATCGAGTGTAAAATGCTCGCTGGGACTGAGAGTGTAGGTGAGCTGAGCGTTCACTCCGATATCCGCATCCGACGCGCCCTCCAGCGGGAAACGAGACCCCGGCAGAGTGGTGAATTCCGCGATGCTGAGGTTTCTGCTGGAGGCAGGGAAGACGGGGGCATTGTCGTTGATGTCGGTGACCTCCAGCTCCACATGGAACACGCGCAGCGGCCGCTCCACCAGCACCTCCAGGCGCAGCGCGCACGGCGCGCTCTTGCCGCACAGCTCCTCCCGGTCGAGCCGCGAGCTCAGCACCAGCGCGCCGCTCGCCCCGCTCACCTCCACGCTCGCCCGCCGGCCCTGCGCCACCAGCCGCAGCCGCCGCGCCTCCGCCTCGCCCGCCTCCAGGCCCAGGTCCTGCGCCAGACGGCCCAGCACCGTGCCGGCCTTCGCTTCCTCCGGCACCGAGTAGCGCACCTGCCCGCCCGCCACCGCCCAGGCCGCCTGCAGCACCAGCACCCGCACCAACAACGCGCACCGCCGCTCGCCCATCCCTGACGCCGCCGCCGCCGCCGCTCTGCCTGCCGGCCCCGGCACGGGCCCCGCACGGCTCCCCGCCGCCGCCCGGACGCAGCGGCTCTGCTGCCCGGCCCGCGCCGCCCCCCCGCGCTCACAGCCGGGCTCTCCGCCGCACCGGGGCGGAGCCGCCCACACGCCGTTCCTGAGCCTGCAGCGACACCGTGCGCTGCTCCGCCGCCTCACACGCTCCCAACACAGCGACCGCGCCTCCGCTCCATTATGGCCATCTCCTCTGCTTTTTCTCTCCCAGCCGTTCTCGTCCTTCATGTTAGATTTTCTGTTCCCTCTTCTTTACCCCTTCTGGTAACTCGCAAGAAGCCTCCGGAGCCAGACAGCAGGAAAACAAGCCAAATCCACGAACTCGACTTACATTGCAGTAGGATCGGACCGCTGAATATTCTGATCAAGGTGGAGTCTATTGACGACCAGCTTCTCCCAGCCATTAAAGGTAAGGTCGTTCTGTACTGCTCATCTCCTTTGCTGTTGTTTTCTTTGTCATCTTCTATTCTAAATTACCTCCTTGTGTCATTCCTTCATAGCATCTTCTCTCCTCTCCTCTCCTCTCCTCTCCTCTCCTCTCCTCTCCCTCCTTTTATGTCCTCCTTTCTTGCTCTCCTCCCTTTATGTGTCCAGTGACTTCCTTCCTTCCCTCCTTCCTTCCTTCCCTCCTTCCTTCCTTCCTTCCGCCACTTCCTTCCTTCCGCCACTTCCTTCCTTCCGCCACTTCCTTCCGCCACTTCCTTCCGCCACTTCCTCCATCTTCCTCCATCTTCCTCCTCTTCTTCACTGTCCTTATGCACATACATACTCTCTTCTCTCTTTGTTTCTTCTCCATTTCTGTGATCAATGTATTTTTCCATGTGATTACATTCACCGTCCCCATGAAGCACGAACACGCCACTGGTAACAATTCTCATTCCTCTCCGTTGTCGTCTTCCATCTCTCCACTCAAGGAACAAACTTCCTGCTCACTTCAAGTCTATACCAGACAGACAGAGTACTCCTTCACCTCACATTCTGGTAGGAAACCACACTCTTCAGGCCCATCCTCTTAAGGGAGAGAATTCAAAGCCCTCTGAAACACAGGCCAAATCCCTTGGTACTTTGACACTAGCATAAACAACCCAGGGGAATCTTCTTCAGGGACTCAAACCCATCATGGCTCAGCACACCAATCCTTCCTGAATGCTGAAAAAATATGGAGCAACCACAGCTCCCAAACACTCTTCATGTACCTCGATGAAGAACTGTTCTTCAGGGCTCATTTGCCAGCTTCATGATAAATGTAAATTTCCGGCTTCGTGTTTCAGGTAGGCCAGCACAGTCAGAAACACAGAGCAAGAACATCCATCCCCAGGGGCGTTTCTCCCCGTGGAATGCCTTGCATAGCCTGATCCACAGAGTAAAGGCAATAAAGTAATTTTATCTGTGTCATTTTCTCTGAGAACACACCCCCGACTCTCAGCACATCCACTCTGAGAAATGTGTTAGGGTCTCTTCTTCATCTGTGCTTCCTATTATTTGCTCACACTGTGTCTGGAAGCAGCAAGATAGGAATGGGAGGAGGCAGTGGTGCTCTGCTGATCCAGCAAAGGAATCATAGAACATTC